ACAACAGTATGACAGCTCCCTGCATTTTGTAAGCTTTGATATCTGCACAAAGCTTGTATTAAATTCGTGTTAGACTTGTTTGTGTACAAAGAAACAATGGTGATGTACAGATAAAATGTTTCAGTTTACTTTGAACTACAGATGTTTATTTTATACAGTCAAAGGGAACAGAATCTATCACATAGAAAGAACAAAGAGCTCTGTGGCAGTATCACAGGACAGTGTACATGCAGAGCTAATACCTGTAAATCAGGAAACAGTTCATGAACAACTGAAGTGAAGGACTGTCAAAGAAGTATTTGCAGCCTCAAAACAAGCAGATTCTGCACTGTAATGCTAGAGGAGCAAACATGGCAAAGCAAGCATTGATACATTCATAGGAGTTAACACAGAATGAGTTAAGTTTCCGTCTTTCCACAATATAACACTATATGGCTATGAAAAAAAAATATTATTTTCAGTATTTACAGCTAGACCTGCACCATCTCTTACAATTATTCAGCAAAAAAACTGTGACTGATAGTGCAGTGATCCTTACAAACTGAATTAAAGTTCAGGGCTCTTTTTAGTCAAAAACATTCCATGCACTGACCACAAGATGGTCATTAGATGCCTCTGGCACTCATAGCAAGATCCACAGGCCTTGTTCCATAAGTGAATTTAGTGCCTTGATCCCACTATTTGAATCACAGCTGAGTGCCGCACTACGGTCCTCGATCTGGGCTACAGCTGTATTACTATTTGCTAAGTAAGGAATTGCTAAAGACATTATTACATTATCACTAATAACAGTAATTCAGAGACTACTACAAAGTTCTGGCCTGATCTTGTAATATTATCAGATTATCCTCTTCCATTTTAAGACTAAGTAGCAACTCTATTCCATAGGTTTCAGTATCTTCATAATTCTTACTGGCCCTCAGGAAGTACAGGTCTTGGATACCATGATTACCATGTAACAGTGCACTCCTTTAAATCATTTGAGGGACAAGAAAGGAATGAATCCTTTGGTACACAGAGCAAGTATGTGGTCAGTATGTTTTTCCACAATCTTAGTGGTCAACTATATGGACCAAAATAGCCCAGATCTAGCAATTCATGTGCAAGAATTTGAGTTTTGTTTCACTTGCTGTAAGTGCTACTTTTAACTGCTGTAAATCACCTCAAGAGGTGCTTCTGGCTTCTATGTCAACAATCCATTCTACCTTGAGGATATATTTTCTGTTGCGGATAGAGAAATGGACGAAAACATAATTTTAATAGAAAAAATGCAACATGTACCTTTTATTCAACACACCGGATTTTTTTGAGAATCTCCACTTTTCATCCTGCTTAATGATCTAGAGTTGTCTACTGTGTGAAGCCAAAAACTCAGATCCTCAGGAGAATGCTAATGCATAAATGCTTACTATAAATTAATTGGAAAGAAGGAGAGATACTAAGTGCAAATTAAGCATTAGATAAGTTGTTCCTAACAAAGAAACAACGACAAAGCTCAAATATTCACTGAATACTAATTCTGTTTTAAATTGTATTATTGGTAATGAAATGCAATCTTACCAGAAAATCAGCTTTTTACTACAGAAGAGTATTTTAATCATGTACCATCTCCAATTTATCTCATCTTTTAAACACTTGAGTGCATAAACAAGTAGCTGCAACATAGCAAGGCATCTCAACAGCAGCTAATTTATTGTAGGACTTTGCTCATCTCAACATGAGTAATTCCCAGTTAGACTTATATTTTCAAATATCTATGGATTTTGTTACTGTCTCTTAGTCAAATCTTTCTTGAATTAACATCATAAAATGGCTCTAATGCCCTACTTGAGAACAGACTTGACTTCACTAGAATTTATGGATGTAAATTTGAGACAAAAATTACTCTTCCCAAGCCAACACCAACAGATAACATAGCAAAGCAAATACTTTTGCTCCATAGCAGTAGTCAAGATCCTAATCTCCCTTGTGTCAGCAATTATCTGAGGCACTGAACAGAATGAAGTAACTTTTAAATTTCCATCCAGAAAAAAATTCTGTCCCACTTTCTCTTCAGTCAATCAGTAAATTAATTTGAGCAGACTATACTGAAGGGGCAGGTAAAACCTCATCTTAACAAAAAAAAAAAATAAATCCAAAAAACAAACAAACAAACAAAAAACCACACACACAAACAAAAAAAAACAACAAAAAAAAAAAAAAAAAAAAAAAAACCACACACACAAAAAAAAAAAAACAAAAAAAAAAAAAAAAAAGAAAAAGAGACCAGTGAAACACAAAGTCCTTCCATGTCCTTCCATTGTCTTCAGCCCCTGGGTGAGGCCCTAAAACCGAAAAATCAGAACACTGGAAGGGATTGTAACCTAATTAGAATGATCTCACTGACAGCCAGGTAAACCTTTGTTGTTCAACAGGAATAGTAACAAGCTAAGTCTGTGCAGCCATTTCTGAATGCTGCTACCTTGAGTATTATTCAACAATCACCTTGACATCACTTAACCTACACTACAATGCAATAGACAAACAGGAACCCAATAACATTCTCTAAACCCTGTATTGCTGCCACTTAAAAAACTTTAAAATGTGAAGTATTGTTGCAATTACAATATTCTGTAATATTCAGTATACTCTTAAATTCAACATATGTACTCCTCCAGAAAGTATTTAGACATAGACACTGTTCAAGGAACCATACCAGGCTTTTAGACCAATGAAATCTTTTAGTTGGGAGGGAAGGGGGTGAAGGGACTGGGGAAGGAGGTTTTTTGGCTATTCTCACAAGCACTACAACATAAAGTCCTCAGTTTTGGAGTTATCATGCAGCAAGTGAACCTGTAGCAAGAGGGTCCACTGCATGTTATTTTTATACACACAAAAATATATGCTCAAAATGAGTAATATCTCAGTAAAAGAGCTATTAGCTAAGGACACCTCTAGCACTGCAACATCCCTGAGGATACTAGCCAGACATTTCCTTCGTAAATTAACAGTTCATGGAAAGTGAGCAGGCATGATAAATGAGCTGTAGTCTTCCAGACTGTGCTTTTTAACAGATGTATTTACACATTTCACAATCTACTGGTAGGGATGGTATGTGTAACTGCCAAATGTTAGATGAAATGTGATCAAACAGAAGTCTTCCAACAAATTCCCATCGTGTTGACTACTAAGATCAGCCTGACATGTAATTTATCATGTTGTGTCCTCACTGAAGATTTAAGCTATTGTTACTATTTGAATTATCCTTTTCTTACACATCAATACCTAAAAAGTACATATTTAAAAAGAACTTGCAAGATACCTTTAAATATTTCATAAGCTTATTTAATAATTACATTTTTTAAACCCAAATCAAAAACCTAAATCTGATCCCATTTCTATTTTACAAAGCTCTTCGAAGTGTTCTCCCTTTCAGACAATAGCAAAGGATTTTGTCTTGCCTGAGCCAGCTGTTCTTTATCACATCTGCCTTCCCTTAAGCAGTTTGATGGTGAACATCAGCAAAAAAGATGAATACCACTCCCATGCCATGGGCTAGTAAACTCCCAAGGTGTTACTGAGTTGCTATCAGTGATGCTGTGGCCTCAGGTAGACATTTTAGAGAAACAGGAGGAGATTCCTGGGGAAGTTGTCATTCCTCTCTGTTTTGCTGCTAAGGAACAAATGGAGCCCGTATCATCCTGGACCATTTCTGTCTGCTGTACCACATGACATGGTGTGTTGGGGTACACGGAGGCAGATTTAGTGATAACATGAAGAGACATACAGTTCCCACATTCGCATGACCTGAGGCAGCACACGCCTTGCCATACAACCTGGCCCAGGCACGTACAAGTCCCAGTGAACATGCAGTGTGTCCTGCTCCAAGAACTGGAGGCTGTGGAGCACCACCACACAACTCCAGATCCTTACCTGTGTTCATGGCAATGGTGGTGCTGGGTGCAAAATCCTACCCATAGAGCATTCAATACCTTCATAAAATACAGTACTATTTATGTATTAAGGCTAATGGTTACTGTTTCCTCATGGATGCATGGTCATACCAGCTAAGGTGTTCAGACACAGATAGAATTTTCTGGCAGCCCCTTGAGAATAGCAAACATTCAATGACAGAACCACAAGCCACATTCAGCAGAACTCTTACAGCTCACACATCTTAAGTGGTGGGGCAGGCTCAGTGCCCTTCACAAACAAATAAACCACAAATACTAATCTGGCAGTGCTACAATAATCACTTTCTTTATATGTTCATTTCTCTCCAGACTTCCACGTTCATTTATCAGCATCTTATGAAGGTCTCAGAAACAGTGCTTTGGTCATGAGGCTTATACTTGCCTAGGCTATGATCATATTCATTTCTTTACATGTCTTTAAGGAGAGCTGAGCAATTAGAGGGAAAAAGAACAAAAAAAAAAAAAATCTACACTCTGCAAATTTAACTTACATTAAAAGTTACTTCTGATTTGGCTGTCTGCAATACAATGTTACTACTTCCTGAAAACCTCCAGGCTTCCACAATTTCCTAGAACAAGTCATAGAATCACAGAATGGTTAGAGTTGGAAAGTACCTTAAAGATAATCTAGTTTCAATCCCCTGCATGGGCAGGGACAACCTGTTCCAGTGTCTCAACTTAAGACTGAAACTAAAGCTTATGTATTAGATCTTTTCCTCAGAGTAGATTTTAAGTTGTTTTCAATTACAGTGTCTGCATTTCACACCACACTTGTTAGCCATGTTTCATGCACTTAGGAAACAGAAACAGTTTACTAAGATTGAAAAAGCAAATTTAGTATCATTTTTTTCAACAACCTTGCACAAAGCATTCGAAACTCCAAAAGTATTTATCAGAGAAATGTGTGATGGGCTTTGGAGACAACTAGTGAACATACTAAAAAGCAGAATATTTTAATAACCTGAAATCATATTTAAGTCTAATTTTGCACCTTGAAGTCCATATATTTCAGAAACCTCTAAATGGGGAAAGAAATTTTGCTCCTACCTCTTCCAAAGCCCATAACGAATCAACCACAGGCTTGATCTTCTTATTGTTATACAGATTTAGGAGTTTGTCCATCACACTCTTGACCAGACCACTTCGATTCTGTTTGAAAAGTAGATTCAATAGGGAAAATCCAGCAATGACTTTGTTCTCCTCATACAGCTTGATAGGATTTACTTTCTCAACTTGCCACCACTGGAAAGCAAACAACAGCAGGGTTAGAAAAACATTTTTCAAGAAATGTTCACAAGAGAACTGCCTGGGCAGGTGTGATGCACAATTCATCTGGAAGATCTGAATTAACAGCCAAGAGGAGCAATAAGGATTTTATTTAAGGAGAAGGCAAAAAAAGTATGCATCTGACTGACACACAGAAATAAAACAGACCTGTGCTGCATGAGAATGGTGAAGAAACCTGGTTTTAGGATGTAGGTCTAGAAAAGTAAGGAATTTGGACATCCCTTCTTACAACTCTTTTTTTTTATCATTTCAAGAGAGTCATGCAAGCTTCTCTAATATTCACAAGTAACTACTGCACTGCTTATCAGCTTCCATTTACTTTTTTGCCTATTATTATGTTTGTGATACTTGAGCAAGCCTTGTACTATCTTATTTAACCCAAGAACATCCTTGAGACTGATATCCCACTTCCTAGCAAGCTTTATTTGAATGGGTCAATTTGCATAGTAAAGATTATCTTGTTTTAGTTCACAAACACATGACAACAAAGACTGTGCCACTACAATCATTAAGACAGTGTAGGAGGCAAAGAATAGCTTCCTGCTACAATCTTTGATTTATCTTGTTCTCAGCTACATAGAGACTTTTGAAGGTAATTTCTCCTGGGAAGGGGTTTCTGCTGGAAGCTGAAAATGAGCTCTTGGCAGAAAATCATATGATAAATCTTCAAGACTTCTCTGTCTTTTTCTTTTCTGAAGCAATCACTTGCACTCCTGGTTATCTTATTTCTCACTTGCAGCTTATTTCATATATTTGTCTCTTCTTTCATCTCTGGGATTTCTGAGCAGGTTTTTGTTGGTGTAGTACACTGAAGAAAAAAAAGGTAACATTTCCATTTTGGATTTGCTGCCATCAGCAAATAGGGAGCAAAGGCAACAGCATTATCCCTTTGACGTCACTTGAAACGAACTTAGAGAACTGAAAATGCTTTTCTGTACAGACTAACTTCTGAAAAGCTGGAAATGACTGGACACAAGCCCCATCTTAAGAAACACATCTCCTTTAATTCACTGCACTGTCCTGACAGTGTTTTCAGGTATGAGGAACATGAGGAAGGTTCTGTTATACATATCTATGGACATGATATTTTCCCATAAGTAAATAAATAATGCAGCCTAACTTCAAGCTTAGCTGTATAAGAGATACATGTCTAATAGCTAGCAATTGCACACAGACCCAGCTCCTGTCACAGCAGAAGAAAACACATCAGATCACACTGTGGGCAGAAAAACACTCTTTGGCAATATCAGAAGTAACAACTTATTAAAGATAAATGCAAATTATAAAGATGAAAATGCTACAGAAAAGTTAGAGGAAAGAGCAGATTCACAGCACTGGGACACTTACTGATTTTGCAAAACTGAAGAAGCTTTTTGTCTCCCCAGTAACCATGTTAGATGAGCCTGTAAAATATGAGCACATTCACACACAGCTTAGTAGATGCTGACAAGCAGGCCATTTATTATACGTAAAAGCATTTCCATGATTCATATTTAAGATTAAATTTTCATTTCCACAGGTTTAAAAGATTAGTAGACATCCTTATACTTTGGAAATACTTAACAAAGGTGACCAAGACCTACAAGTGTATAAGTATTCTGAGATGACAAATACAATCTATCAAATGTCCCTAAACCAAGAACAGGTTAAGTGCTGATGGACATCTCAACACCAAAAGTCTTCTATAGCTCTCTCCTCTGCAGTAAAATGTCATGTTTCTCTGACACACTATTATTTAGTAGTGCTCATGACACAGGTGTTCTTTCCTCTGCAAAGATACATTCATCTGACCCCTACATGTGTGAACATCAATGCACTGTACACTACAAACTTTTAACAAGTGCATTGAGAATTCGCTGTCCTACAGAAGCTTGGACTCCTTTATCAACACATGGCAACCTGGCAGAACTGCAGGAAAGACATTTGCTTGGTATGTGGTGGAGCAGTCCATTCCAATGAACAGAAATTTGTGAACAGAAGTCTGGGCCTGAATTCCTCAGAGACATGGCAATTAAAAACCATAGCATTCTTCCTGACATCTTCCTCCAAGCTTCAGTCTCACAAGAACTATATTACAGTTTCCTTGGCCACACTGTGATTCCTATGGTGTGTAGAATGAGAGATCCAAGCTTTCTCCTACACTTCTCCTGTGTCATCCAAAGATATTTAAAATCTGAAATATATGTTCAGTTTCACTTTTGCATGTATTTATTTTTCAGGGGTTTTTTTAGTAGTTTCTTTTGTGCTACCTGTTGTTTCTCAATAATTTAGTCCGTGCTCAGCTTCACCAAAATCCTTGAAAGAAAATGGTTGAATTAAGGAAGCATAGCATGGCAGTCTCCAGTTCTGGAAGGAGCAGCATGGGTGATTTTAAGAGCTTTTTAAGCTTTGCAAAGCTTTAGGTTTGAAATATGTACCTGGCTTTTCCCACTCACCGTATAAAATATAAGTCCCAAGTGGTTTGAGAAGACTGAGGCCTTTCCCAGTGTTTTCTCCACAAAGACAGTCCAAAACAATATCTACTCCATCTGTTGAGATTCTGAAAAGCAAGACAGAAATCTCACTTTGCAGTAAGATCAACAAGACTGGTCAGCCAGCAAGACACAAGCTGATTGTTAATGTAATATTAGCATTTTCCAGATACTTCAGAAAGGACTGTAAGGCTGAAACTTTGAATATGTGAAAACTTTCTCTTCATCAAAGGACAATTCAAAGTCATTCAGTGCTGGAACATCAGTTTGTTGGGCCTTTCAGGCTTATAAGAGTGGGAAACCATCTTGTTCCCCTAGAAATTCAATTTGTCTTTTTAGCATTCTCAGAACTATCACCTGTATTTTTTTTTTTACTTTCTCAAATCAAAGTGAAAACGCACAGGTCTGAGGAGCAAATCAGAGTACTGGCATATTCTACAGGGTGCCAATTCTGGTTTTTAATCTGGACTATCAATTGTGCTAATACTGTGCACCTATAGAACAGCAAAGAGGCACAGACTAGCTTGATGCACCTACATTGAATCTTCTCTGCCTCATTGGTCTATTGCCAGGTGAAAAAGCATGTGAATATGTTGGATCACCAAAAGGGATTTTAACAGACTAAATAGAGAGAATTTCACCCTTCAGGTCTCATTTTTTATTTTTATTTCAATAGTCATGGTCTGTTACACAGAGTCAGGGGTGCTTGTCAGGGAATTGTCCTGATGTAGGGCAGAAGCAGTCAACGTTATCTGCAATCATAAAGTTACCAGAAGTTAAAGGGGCTTTATTCCTTTTTTTAAGTATTGATTTCTGCTCCCACACCGCATACCCCTCTAGACCAGATCTTCTGTCCCTGCCAAGAGTTAGGATTAAGGTTGGTGTTGAAATCTGATTAATGTTTCCAGATGTTCTTTCCTGCT